TGCAATAAGATAAGTTTATTAAGTACTGTATAAATTTGTAAATTTTGAATGTACTATTACTTACTTTGAGGCGATTGTGTTTTGGATTTTGAAACCATCCTATTTGGGAGAAAAGATGTTCGTATGGTGCCGAGTTAACTTTAATACTATACAATCTGTGGGCAACTTTACCAATCTCTTTTTGATCAATTGCCACAAATTCCCAATATTGCTATAATGCAAGCCTATTTATATTATTTGGTTCAATCTTTGTTGCTAAAATAGCTTTAATGGTATTTTTAAATCTTTCATTATTAAATATACCATGTTTCATGTAATTTTCAGTTAATTCTAGTATAATACATCATGGCTTTACACCAAACCACATTTCATAATAATATTCGATCCATTTCGATATTCTCTCAAGAGAAAAAAAATTAGCATCAAACAAAGCCTGAACACGATATTGCAGATGAAAAATAATTGCTAAAAAAAGAAGAGGTTGTTCCCAATCTGCCCATCTTCTTTCAAGCTTCTGTTGCATTTGATAACCAAATCCATCTATGTCACTTTTATATTGCTGTGCTACATATCCAAAAGCATAAGCAACATCAAAAAGATTGGCTGCATCATGTTGAAGATAGTCCAAGATGTTGACAAAAGGCAAAAAGTGTTCTACTAATTCATCAATATGTGTCCAAAATCGATTACTATTAATAGCGGTTTAAGATTTATCTGATAACTTGGAAGAGTTTAGATATAAAATTAAATATGACTGTAAAGCACGTTTGCTTCTAAGAAGTGCTGCAAAGCAATAATAATATGAGTTTTAATGGGTAGTTATTAGGAGCACAAAGCTATAAATTGCTTTGTAAATTCTCTGTTGCTCATCACGAAGTAATGATATTGCTTTCGAATGCTGTTAATCAGTAAAATATGATGCAATTCCAATTGCTTGCTTTAATGTTTGCTGATATGCAGATGAAATTTTGAAAATATCACCAACACACAGGTTTGCCTGATGCGCAAAACATGGGAAAAATGTAATATCACGCCTTTGCAATCATATTCTGCATCTGGTAAGTAAATGTATACATTATTTCGTGATGAGATTAAAACAATATTAATTTTTTTTAATAAGTTTTTTTTTTGTTCTCATTTTTATCTATATATACCATGCAAAGGCATATGCTGAAGCACTATCTATGACTATCGCCACCACATTAAGGTTTTGACTACTAGCACATGCCAAAAAAGTAATAATTATGTTCAATACATTAGGAGTCCTTTGTCTTGAATTGCTAACATCCTCAGCACCCCATATATGTAACTGATTTGTTGCAGAAAGAATAACGGCATCTAAAATTTCCTGGCAATGCACATTTTTCCAGCCATCAAATATAATTATAATCGGCTTCTGTGATTCAGAAAGTTTGGAAATTTTACTTTGCTCTAATTTTTCTGCATGTTCAATTAGAACTTTACTGCTTAGCAATTTGTTACTTGGAATTTTAACAGTCAGATTAAAAAAATCAACGACTTTGCAGAGTGTACTACATTTAACAAATCGAAGAAAAAGCCCATTCTGAACTACTAATCATAGAAGAAGATAGTTAAATTCGTTCTGCTGGTTAGTTGATAATGGCCACACAATATATGTATCAAGTGTAGTGTTTTTTTTTGTTTTAAATTTTCTTGTTTCATTTATGTGAGATGAGCTCGAAATTTCAGATGTATGATCGGTAAGCATCGATTCTGATATGGTTGAAGCTCTAGAGTTTAATAAAACAACAGACATGGCTGTATTATTTCATTCTCTTGCTTGTCATAATGCTCTAACAGCGTTACGTGCCATACTTTCATCAGGGTCTTCATACATCATTACTTCTTGATCTTTATCTATCCAAAATTCACGCCGGTGTAGACAGTGCTTCCAGTGTCATTGTACACGATCCTACCTGTTAATGAATCCATATTTTTGATATACTTCTCACAATTCAAGACCTTCATTTTTTCCATTTTCAAATATTTGTTCTTTACTTTTACAAGCTTTGCAAATAGCCTGCTTAGTTACTTGGTCTGGGTCCAATTTACTTTGAACATGGACATATTTTGTTAATCTATGAGTATGGAGAGTTTGAAACTTTTTTTTTTTTTTGATACTAATACTGATTGTTTCCTATAGCTTTTATATTTGACCAATTTAACATAAATTGGTCTAACAAGTTTGTATAAAACTAATTTAGTCCAAGAGCTAATTGGTGTTAAACTTGGGGTTGATAAGCTCTGAATACTAAATATATCTTGCATATTCTTATAATATCGAAATAACACTTAACATTATGTACAGGTATGTATTCACTTATAAAGAAGAATACAAAAGAGAAGGAAACAAAAAACAAGTACATATTCAATTGACTAAATTGGATAATTATTTTTCTATACATTCTATCTACATATCAATCTTTATTCCTACGTATCAGTTAGAAGTATATGGCTTATATATATATGAATTAGTTTTAAAATTTGAATTAGCTCTAGTATTTCTTAAGACATTGTTATTCATAATGATAACAACAAGTCATGAACTTATTAGTTATAGGCTAATGTACATTCATTTGCATTAATGGCTAACAATTTAGTTGTTACAACAATACAATTATTATTGTTTAATCATGTGCATAATTCTAAAAAGTGCACAATTTACCTATCTCTAGATACTATCATTTCTATAAGAAACAAATCAAAATTACTTGCATTCATATCAAAGCCCCTGGACGTTGATAGCAAAAATAGTTGGCAAAAATAGCTAGTGAAATTAGCAAATTTAGCAAAATAGTCTATTATAAATTTATATTTATATTTTTCTTCTGCAAGTTCTTTATCTATTATTTCAGTGAGTTCTCCAGCCATTATCTCAAATATGCATACAATTACTTGTATATGTAAAACAGTTCAAGAACAAAAATAATAATCACAAGTTTAGTGCAAAAGTAGCAAATTTCTCATCTTAGCACAAGACAATTGCTGCTAGCTATTTTGCTAAAAAATAGCTCTATTTTAGATGCTAAAAAAATCTATGGGCTCTGATTTGTATATTCCATTTTATGATTATCAGGAATAAAAGGTATAAATTAACTTGCTTTGTACTAGGTTTCGTTTTTAAACTTGTGTCACTTGCACAATCAGAACTTAACATTATATCCCTAATTGACAAATCATTGCTATTTTCGAATTTGTGAATCCCATGAACCCTGCATGTTACTACAAGATTCATGGGATTCACAAAATTCATTTGATCATACTAATTCTAAAACAGCAAATAATTACCTAAATAGTTTTTATACACTTCACGTTTTTCCAATAAAAAATTATCACTATTTCCAAACAATGAACTATGTGAATCTCACGAACTCTACATGTTACTATTGTTTTAACAATGGTAACATGCAGGGTTCGTGGAATTCACAAAATTTATTAATCACACTAATTCAAAAACAGCGATAATTACTACTTAATTACCTAGGTAATTTTTATTTACTTTACAGGAATTTAACGATTTTCCAATAAACAAATAAAAATAACCAAGAAATATCAGTAACCTCAATAATTTAGAAGCAAATCCAAGTTCTTTGCAATTAATAACTATACTAGCAAGTGAATTAGCCAGGTGCAGCCACCCCAAAATTTAGGCTATATGATATAAGTCACTACATCATTATTGTCAAAATATTTGGATAGATTAATACTAGGCACTACTATTAATGCTGCGATGGTGCATAATAGGTTGCTACCACTAGAAATTAATTGAATAAATCTGCTTGATTTCTATTTATGATAGCTTATAGCTGAATTTGAGGAGCTGTCTAGATAAATGGAAGATAGATTAGTCACACAGCCCAAATTTAGCAATCAGCCAAGATTTTGGATCGGAATATGCTGTCATTAAGCATCAACTATATTATAGAAAAATTAACAATTGGGCAACTTTTAAGTTATCACTTTTTTAGTAATTTGGAGAAATTTTACTCTGAATTTTGGTCGCATGACTATTTTATTTCTAAGTAGGTAATGACCAAAGAAAATCTACTGATCATATTTCTGAAAATTGTAATATTTTCTTGTAATTTTGAATAAATACAATACAAGAGCATCTATATTAAACTTAAATTTAAAAACTTGTAATAACCAGTCCTTAATCATTCAATAATAATTTGAATGTACTATAAATATTTACAGGGGCGGCCTCACATAATGATAAGCCTAATTGCCAAAATAATCAAAAAACTTTATTTCATTTGATACCTATTTTAATAAGCTCAATACTTATATCTTGTATATTTATTGATTTTAAAGTTAAATCACTAAATTTGAGCAAGTCATCTGGGTTAAGTATCAGATTAATAAAGATATTTTGTTTTTAGGTTATCGTTATGCCAACTGAAAATAGAAAAGAATTGCTTTTAAGTGTAGTTAATAAAGATTTAAGCTTCGTGTTTGCTAATAAATAATTTCTTTATTGAATGTTTTGCTTTATTTTATTGATAACTGACAAGATTTAATAGTGTAAATATATATTTAACAAAGGAATTAATAATTTTCAAGTT